TATATAGAATGAGATAAACAAGGCTCTACTATATTCAATATCCTGTAATAACATATAATGGAAAAGAATATGAAAAAGAATATATATATATGTATGTGCAGTGGAATTATATATATATATATAAAAACTGAATCACTTTGCTGTACACCGGAAACTAACACAACATTGTAAATCAACTCTACTTCAATTAAAAAAAAGAAGTTAATTTTAATCATATCAAAAAGCATTAATTGAACAGCTACTGTGTTTGAGGCATACAACTTATATGTTGTGATATGTGTTTATCACAACATATATATGTGTTTCTTGATGTGTCAAGAAACAACTTTTGTATGGCTGCCCCAACAGGATGGATCCCAGTTGCACAAGATGTCAAAGGCTGTGTGAATATGGAGATAAACCGGCTTTGTGTGAATGTCTCTGGTTTCCACATTGCTCAGATCCTCTGCCAGAGCAACATATTGGGAATCTTGGCTTTTCATTGCAAAATATTCCTGATAATTTCATACAGAAATTTTGTTTATTTTTCATCGCTGTCCTCAGGAAGAGGTGATTGCTTAGAGTGGACTAAAGTAGTCAACAGCTGATTACTGGATGTATCACTGGCTGCTTCGTTTGTTCTCAGAGATCTGCTTTACCCCACACACTAAGTGGAGACATTATTCATCTACAGTATTATCTATGACGTCACTGGTTCCAACTCCCTGCTGTGCTGACATTTCTATGTCAAGTCATTGGACTCAACTGCCTCTCTCTTCCCATGACCATCATTCTCATCCTCTCCATTCTACTTCTCTCCTACATATATTTCTCCACACTTCTGTTTCTACTTAAGAGGCTAAGGTGCGGTGGTTTATGGGCATATCCGTGTGCACATCTGGGTGATGGTTACCTGGAAAGCACATGACACCAAGCTTTGGCCCACCCATGCACAAACATCACTTTCAGGGTTTCCACTCTATTCAAAATTAAAACCCATCTCCCTATAGATGACATTCTAGGGCATAAATAAATCATTAAAGAATATGATTATTAAATTCTATACTTCTAATCTATATTGGCATTTAGTCTTTGGGGGGCATTTTTGGATTCTAAACACAGATACAATGCCTTAAGTATTTTGCCATTGTAATGAATGTAAATATTTTATATACAGATTAATCTACTTGCCAAACTTTTTGCATTCCTTGAAAATTCAGGATATCAGATAGTGTAATTTCTTGACAAATTGAATCCATCATCAGTTTAGGTTACAAGTGTGAATATTTGAAAGGGTCTAACTCCTTTTCCTTCCTCTCTCCTGGTTTTGTCAGTCTGCTCATGAAATTAATGATATGTTTTTTGCACAATTCCAAATTAGAGTAATCCTTTGATAAATAATACTGTTTCTTTAACATTGCCATTTGAAAACCAAGAAGGTAATTGGCATTTACTTGCATCTTTTGGTTCCTTCTGTTTTACATTTTATTGTCTCAGACTGTCCAATTTTTGTCACCAGGTAGTTTATGTATGTGTGTGTGTGTGCACGTGCACGAGTGTAAACAAGGGCTAGAGGAATTTCTCTCCACTTTCTGGGTTATTTCTTCTCTATGAAATGTATATAACTCCAGACCTAATTCATTTTTAAATTTAGGATCTGTACATGCTTCAGCGGCAGCAATTTGGCGACTATATCCAGCCTCTCTGAGAATGACATTCAGGGCAGAGAATGTTACTTAGGGGTAGTGATGACATTCGGACAAGAGCTGCACGTGTGTGTTAGGAACCAGTAAGAAGCAGGAGCTCTTGGGGGTTTCTGAGCAGAGCAGCACTCGATAAGTACAAGCAAAGTCCAGTACAGCCTGGCAGAAGAAATCCTGAAGCTATAGAGATCAACTAGGAAATTTGGAAATTCAGATGTGTAGTGAGCCCCTCTTCCATGCCCACAGATGATCCAAAGCTACCCAGCACTAGCTGCACGGGATAATGACAGAACAGAAACAGCCTAGCCGTCTGATACACTTGCTGCATTGATTTTCAGTTGTGTTTTACGGCATATCAATATTTGAAACAGTTTCAGTACAACTCTTTCAAAGTGAGAGAAAGATAATAAAATGTGAATAGAAAGAACACTTTATCATGTGCTCTCCTTTTTCTTGTAATATTACTACAGTCTAATCAGCAAGTCTCACTTGCCCCAACATTCAATCTTCATACTCCTTTCACTGACTCTAACCTAGCTCAGTGCAACGTTCTCCCTCTGGAGACACCTTAAAACTGAGTCTAAAAGCAATTGATAGAATTGTTAAACACAACGACCTGTGCGATTTGAAAACTTATCTTTCTTTGATGAACATAGCAGGTCCTTTAAACCATTCTTCTTTCAACCTAATTCTAATAATAGGGGAGATAAAGAAGCTTCATGCATCCCTTTAATAGAATGTTCTTCAAGTCTATGCATTTTTCATCAGTACCTAAACATAATGGTAAAGTGAGACTGGATGGCTACTACTTTGCCCTGCAATGCAGAGGTAGCTTGACATGGTCAGAGGAATCCACAGATCTGATATATGAGACTCCAAAGCATCAGACTCTTAGAGCAGGAGGCAGCTGTGGAGAAAAGGCATGAGGACCTAGAGCACACATTGCTTAGAAGGATTTCTCTTGACTCTCCCGGGCAGAAGTCAGAGAAACAGTAACATCTTATGGTTTCCTAACCTAGAGGAATGGACTGCCAGGAGGAAGTAGAAATAACGCTCAAATATTGTGAGGTTTTTCTGTTTGCTCCAATGTTTTCCTCTTTTCCTCTGGAAGAAGATTGAAAGGACTAAAGAGTATTTCTTTCTTTAACCCCAAAGGTTTACTTTCTAAAATTAATGTTGGTTAAAGAACTCATTACATGAGTTTTAGAAAAACAGGAATTATACAAATGTACTTCCGCTATGAAAAAACACATCAATACAAAGTATTGGATTCCCAAGATGGAAGAATCATAAGGTCAGATAAGGAAGTGTCAGTTTTTGTCCATTGCTGTATGAATGTAAAACAAAGTTTTATTGGAATTTTCACCGAATTTGGAGATATTTCAGATGATCTGACTTAAAATGTTGCTACGGAATAGAAATGAAGTTTAGTCTCGTGAATAGCAGGTAGCACCTCAAAGAGATAAGGAAGTCTCCTTCTCAGCAGATATGGTTATGTCAAAAGCTGCTTTTGCACGTAGTCAAATGGGAATTATTAATCAGAGACGGTTATGTTATTTTCCTGAGCCATAATGGGTTCGTTAACTAGCTGTGTAAGTGTGAACAAAAAACGTTTAATACTCCGCATCGTGATTGTGAATGAGTCATGTCAACATTTTCAAATCTATTATTAAAGAGAGATGTCCCGAGGAAGTCGTGTTGAGTACGTGTAATATTTCACTAAGAGAAAATCAAAAACTTTTTAAAAGAAAAAAAGTTCTGTAGCATATGCTAAATATTTAAAATTATTTACATATTTTCGATTTTGCCTCCTAATTTGGTTCTGAAATCCTGCTTTGAGTTCAAATAGAAAACACATGTATTCATGCTCTTCTGTGGAAAGAGATGGTATGTGATTTAAAATTTTTTTCTTTTTTAAAAAATTTTGGCCATACTGCACGGCATGGGGGATCTTAGTTCACCGACCAGGGATTGAACTCATGCCCCCCGAGGTCACCACTGGCCTGCATTGGAAGGTGGAATCTTAACCACTGGACTGCCAGGGAAGTCCCTTAAATTTTTATTTGTTGTCTAATTTCCCCAATCTTGCAAACAGTGTATTGGAGTAATTTTGAGATGATTTTTCCTTGTAATGTTCAAAATTTTCATCATTGTTTTCATCTTTATGGTTAGACCACTGCTTTTTCTGGTAGGCTAGTATCATTTCACCACAGTTGGAGTGTATCTACTTGAAACCAAGATGCTACTATTTCACTTAAAACTAATCATGTCTTCAACTGACAAACTTTCCATTTCAAGTCATATTTCAGAATATTCTTGCTCAGAATAGTTTTGTTTCTACAGATAATACATAGAAGACAAAAAACTAAAGGCTGAGGAAAGTGCTTTCCCTGTGCTAGGAATAAAGACATTCTAAAACATCTGACACAGATGATGAAATTTCATTTGAATTTTAGCTCACTCGAATTCTTGCAGCAATTTCCCCCACACAACCACTAGACCAAATATGGAATAACTAATTCCTTTTGGCTTTAGTTGTTTTGGTACTAACTAGTCCCTAGGACAAGGTGATCACACCAACAGTGGGTGAGTTCTCTTCCTCTCCCACTCAGGCTCTAACTTTGATTGTCTTTGGATCCTTGTTGCCTAGCTCTGCAGCAGGCACACAGTAGGTGCTCCATGAATGTAAGCTGAAGCAATGAGGGAGGCAACAGTAAACTGATGCTTTTAGTAATGCTGCTCAATGAGGTCACCACTGGCCTGCCATCTCGTGCACCCGTTATCCCTAAGTTGCCCTAACTGCGGAAGCCAGCATGACCTTTGCCTTCAATCATCCAGGCAGTCAAAATAAAATAAGCCCTTCTCATTTCAAGCCATACTATGGATATCGGGCTTCGGAATAGCATCACATTGAAAAGGTAACAGAAACTGAAGATAAATTTATTTTAAGTACTTTTTGGGCTCAGCAGGTCTTACCCTGGAAATGGAATGTCAGAAAAATCCAGTGATCTTCCCCAGATTGCCCATCTACCCAGCAAGCTCACGGCTGGCATGAGAATCCCATTCATGCAATACCATGACTTTGAAGAGTCATCCCCGAAATACTATTTTGTTAACAATTAAGTTAGAAAGTCAGTGTCACATTTTTAACAAACAATAAAAATTTCAAATGTCACCCAGTTTTAAGAGAGCAGAAATGGCTCTCAGTAAAAACACAGACTAAAATTCCAAAAGACAGAAAAGTCTGCAGCACCCCTCTCAACTGTGGAATCACAGCATATGTTCCAACCTGCAAATGCATTTGTGGTTACTTCCTACCTTAAATACATTGATAGGGAGATCAATGACCACATAGATAAGGTCTCCGAGGGCAAGGCTGGCTATCAGTGCGTTGGGGCCATTCCTCATGCACTTGTTCTGGTAAATGATCCTGAGCAGGGTTGCATTCCCCACCATTCCCACGATGAAAATAGTACACGATATCACAGTGTTAATGTATTTGAAAGCTGAAGTAATCTTAGTCTGCTGTGGGCAATAGTTGTGCATTGAGCCATTGTTGGGGAGGGCCAAATTCGTGGGTCTATGCGTGGTAACCATGAAGCTGAGTTCTGTCCCACGAAAAGTGGTGAAATCGTCCACATGGGTGCTTAGATTTGTGCTGTAGCTCTCAGGATTATCACTGATGACACATCCAACCAGCGCCAACCCAAACAACACCCTGAGGCAAAAGGTTTCCATCTTGATGCAAATTTGAGGAAAGGTCTCTTATTCTTTTGCTTTGACACCCTTTTTTTTTTTTTTTTTTTTCCCTGAAAAGAGAAAAGAGAAAAAATAATTTTGGTTACAAAATACAGCTGCCAATAAGACTGTAGTCAATGATAATTACTGCTTCAATTAAAAAGCAGGATGTATCTGGTAATTAGATAAGATACATCTTTGTCAGGTTACCCCATGGAAGAACAAAAGAAGAAAAGATCAAAGCTCTACTAGGGCAAGTTATATCTCTGTATCCTGCCTCTATCTCTGTCTCTGTCTCTCTCGCTTTTGTCCATAGCTATACTTACACCTAGATTATAATATGAGGACATGGCAGTTTTTCCTTTGAGTAGTAGAGAATTAGTTACATTACACCTAGGCTGATAGCCTGAATTACAAAAAATCTTCACGAGTTGAGATAACAATATTTTACTTATTAATGGAAGAGAAAAGACATTATATGCTGAGTGAAAGTTATGTAATATTAAGGCATAAAATCACCAAATTCTGTAATTAACAATTCAGTATTCCAACATGTGTGCTGTTTTGCCAGTGGCAAATAATGAACATGAGAATAACATGCAGCTCAGGTAGCCATTTGAAGTGTTATGAAATGTTCATTTAAAAACAGAACTCTGGTTAACACCATCAATACATTTAACAATCTTAGTCATTTAAAATTGAGATAGTTGATAAAGACGGATATTTGCCAATGAATGAAACTAGGAGTAATAGACTTTCTCAGGCCAGGCATACTATTTGGTTTTCCAAACATCCTTTAAACATCCTTTATAGCTACATTGATTACGACCAGTCACTGTGCTGAGCACTTCACATGAGTGATGCCCTCTATTCCATACAATGACCCTCTGAAGCAGATACATGGTTCCATTATAAACACAGGGAAACATGAGGTCAAGTAGCTTGTCAAGGCCATAGCTGGTGTGGTGCTGCTGTGATTCAAAGGCAGGTTAGTCTGACTTTGAGCCTGAGCTCTTAACCACTAGACCATACTGTCTCTCATTCTCATGACTTCTTAGCATCTAAAGTGTTTTAACAATGTTTCCAGCGTTTTGAAGAAGCAATAGATTTTGGAGGTTAGTTAGATATTTTCAAAAGACCATTTCATTGTTTTGTTTTGTTTTGTTTTAGTCACTTGCAGAGAGCAAGTGGTCCTTCTTGTTCAGGAAGTCTAGGTTTCTACTTGAAGAAAAGATGCTGGGAAAATGAGGGAGGTTGGTGGTAACACAACAATTAAAGGTAAATAAAAACGGCTCTTCCCATTTTAATATTTTGCATATTTTCTGTGAATTTTTGTGAATCTTTAAATGAAGGCCATAAGCTCATTTATGATGATGTAAGTGTGTGTGTATGATGAATACACCCAGGTCACAATTTAAGTTTTAAGAATTGTGTCCTTTTGAGTCTATTCATGGTTGATATGAATTTTGATATGAACTTTTAGGAATTTTGACAGTTATCTTGGTTATCAACAAAGTTTAGGGCTTAGTCGATATATGGATGAAATAAGATTTACTCAAGTTGTACAGAAGGTCGAAAATAAATATAAGGTGCAAATACTGCATACTTCTGCCTTCCCCAGAGATTTCCCCCCAGGAACCTGAATTAATAATAACATTTTACATATAGTAGTAATCTACTATATACAGTATTTGTTGTCTGACTTGAGTTTTACAACTCTAGGTAGGCAGGACAATATCATGAGGAAACTGAGCCTTGAACAAGTTGTCACATTTTTGTGGCCAAGAAATGGCAGGACAGGCAAAACACCTCACTCTACTTTGCTCATAAGACTTGACTCAGTCAAGTCTTAAAATATCAGTTTTTCTAAGCTAGGGGCATACTGGGCATACAGTTCTGCCTAGACTTAATTATAAGTAGTTTGCAGTTTTGTTTTGTTTTTTTCCTGCTTCTTACAGTTTGGAGTATTTGACCAAATGTTGATAGACCTACGAAACGCCGCTATTTCCATTGCACCGTGGAGACCAGAACTCTAAGAACAAAGCATATTGTCATCCTCCCCTTCAGATCAGAGATGGCAAAAAGGAAATCCTTCAGTAATTTGTGCTGTTTAATGACTAAAGCCTCCCAGTTGCCTAATAGGAATGAACCTTCAGAAAGAGTTTTCTTAAAAGTAAAAGAGAGGCCTTTTCCAGAAATGGAATGGCTCTTTGTCCATCAGAGTCTGCTAGGAGGCTGTTTCGTGAACTGACCTGGCTATCTATGGTGGGTTGACACCACTCACAAAAGTACCACTCGTGTTTGAACATCAGCACACTGGTTTGCTTGGTGAGCTGATTACCTCAGGAGCTGAGAAGTCTTATCAAAGCTGTGGGTTCTTATCAAAGTGTGCGCCAGCTACCATGAAAACCACTTTCTTTCTCCTCCAACAATGACGCCACCACAGAAATCATTTCTGAAGACATCTCTTTCAGCTCTCTACACATATGAAGCTGCAGAACTAAGGGATACCTGGCAAAGGCACGTGGCTGCCATGCCATCATTGGGTGAAAAATACAAAATCAAAGGAAAAAAACCCTCTCCAAGCTTATTTCTCTAAGTCACGCTGTGCTTCAGATCATCAGTCATAATCCGTCATAGCTCTAGTGAAGCACCTCAGGTTCAGACCTGAAGGACATGGTTTATAGATTCAGCATTCTTCATATTTGGGGTCTAAGGATTTGCTGGAGTTCAAAAGCTACCATTAAGGGCTTCCCTGGTGGCGCAGTGGTTGAGAATCCGCCTGCCAATGCTGGGGACACAGGCTTGAGCCCTGGTCCGGGATCCCACATGCTGCAGAGCGACTAAGCCCATGCACCGCAACTACTGAGCCTGTGCTCTAGAGCCCACGAGCCACAACTATTGAGCCCGCGTGCTGCAACTACTGAAGCCCGCGTGCTGCAACTACTGAAGCCTGCATGCCTAGAGCCCATGCTCTGCAACCAAAGAAGCCACCGCAATGAGAAGCCTGCACCACAGTGAAGAGTAGCCCCCCACCCTCCTGTGCACAGCAACAAAGACCCAATACAGCCCAAAATAAATAAATAAAATAAATAAATTTATTTTTTAAAAAAGCTATTATTAAGCAAGAGGACTGAATCCTTTGTGCTTTAACAGTTTAACATCTCAGACTCCCAGGATCAAAGTTCACTCGTAATTAGCAATTTGGAAATTCCGACCTTACCCACAAGGCAAGAGTTTAGAGCAGGTAATTTACAAGAAACGACTGCCAAGGTGTTTCTCAATTGCTTAACACAAAACAGAGGGAATGGGAGGAGTCATAAATACCTACAAGAGGAGGAATAAACCAAATAAACTAGGAACTTCGAAATAAGTTTTTTTGGTGGGTCTTGCTCGGTGGGTAAGAAATTAGTAACTCTCCTGACTGACAACGCCTGACTTTAATATGCCTCCCAGCCCCCCCCCCCCCCCCCGCCACCACCACCAGCCTCACGGCTGGGGCAGAGGAAAAGGACCGGGAAAAGGCCAGGATTGACATCACTGTTTTGCTGCGGGCACGTTCTTGGGGCACGTTGAGGCTTCTTTGGAGAGCCCCATGGAGGTCTTCCATGCCCCTGTTTCCAGGCAAGGAGGACAGGGCCAGGACACAGCCACATGCACACACACACATACACGCACTCACACACCTCCCTGCCTTGGCACTGGGGAGCGGACAGAATAAACTTCTGACTGAAGCTTGTGCTAGAAAGCTGCCTTCTCTCTCCCAGTTGTCCCTTACCCTAGAGCAGGGTCATTTCTGGCCCCAGCTGGCAGGGGTGACAACATGAGAAGGGCTCCAGATGCTTCAGGGTCTTGGGCACCCAGCCGAATGTCTCAGACTTGAGTGTATGGGCAGTGGGGAGCCATGGGCAGGCTGGGGGCAATGGAGAGACACCACCGGATCTATCCCGTGGAACAGCAGCATCTGAGCATGGAAAGGATGCACTTCTGGGCAGGACTTCGTAAGCCGGTGGCCGTCCGCGGCGGTGGACGAGCTGAGCGTTGCTGGCTCCCACCCTACTTGTCCCCCCCCTCCGCCGTCTGGTCTATCCCGGAACGCCATTAGGATGGTGTAAACGGAGGCTGATTATCGGGAGACAGCCCTTGTTCTCGGCACGTGAAGGGCAACAAGTGTCCATGAAAGGAGGGCACAGAACAAAACGCCCAGACCTCCACGGGCAGGTTTCCAAACTCGTTGTCCTGGGGTTTTTCCAGACACATCTGTTCCTCACACCCAGTGCCCTTGGCTACCCTTGGCATGCCCCGGGCGTGCGGGAGAAGCAGGCTGCGGGGCAAACTTCACAAGTAGTCTCTTGAGCCAACAACAAGGGCGTGAGGTTCCACAAAGTTCTCGCAAGCCTCGGGGAAACGGAGACCCGAGGAGAACTGCTGCTTTTCTTTTGACTAAAAATCCGACGCCCGCCTGGGAAGGCTGAGGCGCTTTGGATCAGTTTCCCAAACCCCCAACGTGCCCGGAGCGCACCCCGCCCAGGAAAAGCGCCCGCGCCGCCTCGCGCCCTCTGGCAGGTGATGCCAGCCCTGGTGCAGGAGGTGCAGGCGCCGGGCTACAACGCTCCAGGCTCGCCTCTCCTCCCGACCGAAGGGCCCGCCGGCGTCTCCCCTACCCAGCTCGGGACCCCTAAAGAAAAAGAGTTGCACCGACCGTGGAGCTCGGCGGGCGCGGACGGCTGCCCGGTCCGCGTGCGGCGCCTGGGCAAGAGGAAGCCGAGACGGCGAGGGTGGGTGGCGAGTGTCCCGGGCTTCGGCGCTGCAGCGGCCCCGGCTGCACCGCTGACTCCGCTTCGCAAAACTTCCTGGGCACGGCTTCTCTGGGGAGGTCCGGAGGTCCTCCCCGAGCCGCCCGCCTCCGGCCACCCGGTGGGATGGAGCGTCTCCACCTCCCGTCCGCAATCGCCAGACCAAAGGGATGACTGTGCGCGCGCACGAGGGCTCGCAAGAAAAGGAAAACTCCGGAGGAACACGCCTCCCGCCTGTCCTCCCCTTCTCCCAAAGCTCCCAGACCTTCTACTCCACTCCAGGGCGGCAAGAATGTCCAAACCTTCCAGCCCTCCAGGGATGCAGCCACTATAAAGCACTAGGCTGCCGCCCCCTCCCAGGCCCTGAAGGGTAGGAGTCTTTTTAACTATTTCCTTCCTGAAATGAAAGTGGTGGTGAGGGGACGGTGATCGAGGAGGAGGGTAGTTTAACAGACAAGACTCAGAACTCAGGAAGGCCTTGCAGAGAAAACTTTCCTTTCCCATTAAGTGCAGGCACATTTGATCGGGAGGGAGCGACTGCAGAGTCAGGATCCGAGCGTGGTTTCTGCTCTGCGTTCCCTGCCCCTTTGCTTGTCTTGTACGTTCCCCCTTAAGCTTATAGCAAGTAAAAGAGCCAACGTGGACAGCAGTTTACTGGATCAAGGACGTTTTGTTTCTATCTTGTCCCTTGAATCCAGCACCCCAGGGCTACCTAGTACTGGCCCAGGGCAAAGCAGGAGCCCTTGGAGAGATTGTGGAAGGGTCCAGTATGTGGCTCCGAGAAATCCACGATTCCTCAAGAAATCCAAGCAGGGAGAATGCAGATGCTGCAGAAGGTGGGTTTCAACATGTCTATACCATAGAGAGTTTATCCTAAATGGGGTCGTGGGAGAGGAGATGAGGGAAAAAGGCCATTGCCTTGACAGGTGAGAAAAAATCAAGGCCCCTTGAAAACGAAACCCTTGTACACTGTCGGTGGGAATGTAAATTGGTACAGCCACTGTGGAAAACAGTATGGAGGTTCCTCAGAAAACAAAAAAAATAGAACTACCATATGATCCAGCAATCCCACTCCTGGGTATATATCTGAAGAAAACTGAAAACACTAATTCGAAAAGATACATGCACCCCAGTGTTCATAGCAGTGTTACTTACAGTCACCAAGATATGGAAGCAACCCAAGTGTCCATCAATAGATGAATGGATAAAGAAGATGTGGTATATATACATATATATATATATATATATATATATAATGGAATACTACTCAGCCATAAAAAGAACAAAAATTTGCCATTTGCAACATGGATGGACTTGGAGGGTATTATGCTTAGTGAAATAAGTCAGACAGAGAAAGACAAATACTGTAGGTAATCACTTATATGTAGAATCTAAAAAATAAAAAAAACTACTGAATATAAGAAAAAGGAAACACACGGAAATAGAGAACAAACTAGTGCTTACCAGTAGGGAGAGGGAAGAGGGGAGGGACAAGATAGAGGTAGGGGATTAAGTATAAACTACTGTGTATAAAATAAATAAGCTACAAGGATATATTATATAGCAGTATTTATCTATTATATAGCAGTATTATATAGCAGGGAATATAGCCAGTATTTTATAATAACTTTAAATGGAGTATAATCTTTAAAAATTGTGAATCACTATGTTGTGCACCTCTAACTTATATAATATTGTAAATTAACTACACCTTGATAAAATCACAATATGAGACAATATTTAATAACCTGAGTAAATGTTCAATATCAAGAAAAGAGTAAAGATAAAACGTTCTATGGAAAAATATAATCAAGGGCTCCTTAGAGAAGGCCTTGCCCAGAGTCCTTCAATGCATTGTTGGTATGAGGCACATTGTGCAAATGTGAGTTTGGAGTCACATTATATTACAGACTGTTCTGATTATCAGCTGCAGCTAAAGAAAATCACCCTAAAATGGTAGTGGTTTAAAACAACATACCTTAGTCATCAATCTGCAATTTGGGCGGGACTTGGCTGGAACAGCTCGTCATCTTTGCTGGGCCTGGAGGCTCCACTTCCAAGATAGTTTGCTTTCTCGGTAATGAGTGTTGGGTTTTCTCTATGTGTGTCTCCCTACAAAGTGGTTTATGTTTCCTCACAGCATGGTGGCTGGGTTCCAAGAAGGAGTGTCCCAAGAGACAGGAAATGGTAGCTGCCAGTTTCTTAAAGTCTGGGCCTAGAAACTGACATAGTGTCACTTCTGCGAATTCTATTAGTGAAGCAGTCACAGATCCTAGATTCAAGGTGAGGGAATACAGACTTCACCTGTCAATGCAAGGCATGTCAGAGGATTTGAGGGGCATTTTGTAATACTATCAAAGAGATCCACAGAATACCACTGTTGAAAGGGACCTTAATTGTCACCTAGTCCAATGGGCTGGGTATTACCCTGTGCATTAATCTGTTCTATCTACAGCTTCCTCACGTTGAAGAGTCAGCCAGAATAATTAATAGCTTTTATAAGTGCCTTTGTTTGCACTTTTAAAAAGGTGCCCCTTTAGGCACAAGGCTTGGCAAGCTGACAATATTTTCAGGGAAGAAAAAGTCCTACACCAGGGTTCAAACCTTGGCATGTGAAACATGTGCTGGTTTTTAGCCCCCATTCACCCTATGACCAGACACACTTGGTTGGACAGTACAGCCTGCACAACTGAACATGGCAGTCTATTCGGTCTTTGGTAGAGCACATCTATCAGCCTCTACCTCCTGGGACAGCTCATCCCACTGTGGTGCAGGTCTAATTGTTCAAAGTCTTTTCTTCATACTCATTAGGATGGCTATTATCCAAAAGCAGAAAACAAGTGTTGGTAAGGATGTGGAGAAATTGGAACCCATGTGTGTCGCCGATGGGAATGTAAAATAGTGCGGCAGCTGTGGAAAACCGTTTGGCAGTTCCTCAAAAAATTAAACAGAAAATTACTGTGTGATCCAGCAATTCCATTTCTGAGTATATACCCAAAATAACTGAATGCAGGGACTTGAACAGATATTCACATACTTATATTCATAGCAGCGTTATTTACAATAGCCAAAAGATGGAAATAACCCAAATGCCCATCTATGGATGAATGGACAAATAAAATGTGGTATATATATGTAACCTGAAATATTATTCAGCCTTATAAAGGAAAAAAATTCTGATACATGCTACAACATAGATGAAACTTGAAGACATTATGCTAAGCAAAGTAAGCCAGATCCAAAAGGAGAGCTATTGTATGAATCCACTTATATGAGGTAGTTAGAATAATAGTCAATATCTTAGAGACAGAAAGTAGAATGATGGTTACCAGGGACTTGAGGGAGGGAGGAATGAGGGTTTATTGTTTAATGGGTTTCAGAATTTCAGTTGGGGGTGATGAAAAAGTTCTGGAGGTAGATGGTAAGGATGGTTGCACAGCAATGTGAATGCACTTACTGTCACAACCATACACTAAAAAATGGTTAAAATGATGTTTATTTTAAGTATATTTCACCACAATAAAAGATATTCTTCCTGACATTAAGCTGAAATCTGTCTCACCATAATATTACCTTTTGATTGGCCCTATAAGTTCATAAAAACAGTTTTCTGTCTCTTCTGAGAAAGATCTTCAGATATAAACAAATATGTTTATGTACATCACCAGCACAGATCTGCCTTTGTAAGACTTTGGGGTTGCCTCATTCCAGGTGAGAACAGCATGAACTTTAGTCGTTGAAGATTTATTTTCTCATCTTCTCCACTTTACTTTCAGGAAAATGACTCCAGTGGATTTAAACCAGTGGTCGTTCAAATTAACTACCTCCAGTAACCCCTCTCCCTATAGCCAAGACTTTAAATACTTGCCTCACTATTGTATTCCCTGCTTTGTACTTTTAATGAACATATAATTCACATATTTGACTAAGTTTCTCAACTCAACTTCCAAAGGTTATTTCTTTTCCCTGAAAGGTGGGTTAGAAGGAATCTGCAGGTCTTCTGGGTTTCAGGGAGACTTTCTCAATCACACTTGACCTCTAGTTCATGCAGCTCATTAAGTGGAGCATTACTGTAATGGTATTTACAATGGTTTTTCTCAGCATCACATTATCATTATTGATTTCCTGGACAATAATTGCAGAAGATTAAGAAGTACTCAAGATACCACTTAAAAGCTAACTTTTCATGTGTCCTTGGGGGTAAATGTTCTTATGAATTTAAGTTTCTTGATTCAAATGTGCAGATCCATTTCACAATCGCTAATTCCTTAGCTCCTCATATCTGAACTGCAATAAAGGATCTGAATCGCACAGTATTTGCTAGGAATGTTGTGTTCACTTTAAGGCTCCCTGGGGGCAATAAAACATGATGGGTTCAGGGAAGAACCACAGAGATAAAGAAAGACTGGACAGCCGGTTGTGAGAAGAAAGATGGAGAGATTGGGGAAGTGTACACCAAATCCTGAACCTGTCACTGCAGCACTGGGCAGTATCATGGCTGAGACTCACTATTGGCAGAGAACATCACTGACCTGGAGGAGAAAAAGCAAGCCTTGTGATTTGAAGGTCCATTTTTAATTAAAATTCACCATAGGCAGTTTGTTTCCAAAAGGAAGTATTCCAAAATGCTAGGTTGTAGAGGGGTTGCTGAAGATTCTAGAAGTTTTCTCACTGCAACAATACTGCACCTGGTGGTCAAGACTGCAGGGTATCTCATCAAAATATACCGAAGGCATAATTATGTAGCCCAGTGTTTTGTAAACTGCTGGCGGCCTCATAAGAGGGCTGAAAAATCAGTCAATCTTAGCATCACTCATGACTGGATGAGCAGATATTAGGTGTCCTCTGATGACATATTCCATCTGGCCCAAAATGTTTAACTTGAATCAAGACTTTAGCTATTCTTGTTTCCAGGAAAGATAGGAGATAAACACACAAGTTAAACAAATACCATGAAGAAGCAAATAGGTAAATCCAGAAAGTATGACATTTTACTCTTCAGTGAATTAATCAATAAAAAAGCGATATTTTTCTAGATTATAAGAGACTTAAAGGAGCACAACAACCAGTTACACCATCCTGGATTGGATCCTGGCTTGGAGAAACCAATTATAAAGGACATTTTTTTGAGAACTGGGAAAATTTAGATTTGGACTTGGTATTAGATGTTATTAAGAAATTGCTAATTTAATTAAATGTCATTATTTGGGGCATATAGAAGAATGGTCTTATCTTTTTGAGATTCTTTTAGGGGAGATACAATTTACTTTTAACTACCAAAGCAGAAACAAAAATGACAGGAGT